TGTTGTTTCTCTCCAGGAGAACATCATATGCAAGCTACTACCACTGCTTGATAGAGTGAATAGACCTGGTTGAGTGTCAGGCTTCTTGGGGAGGAACAGTAGGCACCCGTTGACCTCAGACAAAAAAAGCAAATGATACAGCACTAGCGTTCTCCTCGTAGTAGTATTTTTGGACGGAGGAAGGAAGAAAAATAATGCGTGGTGTACTGGGCGTTTTGCCGGAAGTTTCGATTTCGATTCAAAATTGCGCGCATTTCACTGAACTCATTTGCAAGTCTGAATTTTCGTCGTGAACGTCATGCTGTACTGTACCGTACGGTACACTAGTAATACGTACGTAGATGTGCGAGCGAGTTCGAAAACCTCGCAGAGTGTAACGGTACCAGGTACCGGTACGTGCTACCAAAGTTATGCTGTACGGTACGAGGGCCAAGAAAAACGTTGGTGATCCCTTTTACTAACGTACGTATGTCCGCATTCCTACGACTGGTACGGCTACGTACTCTTACCCATATGAATACCTTACCCACAGATACCCACAAATTGCTCTGTTTCCCCCGCCAGAACCCAGAACCACTAGGAAATACCGTCCCTCACTAGAACAGGACAAGGACTCCAGAAACAAAAAACAGCGAGATTGCTTGCAMGGCATCCGTTGATTGATTCGACGCTATGAGTGACAACAATACGGACGTACTCGAGCCCCGGGCYGTGACCCGGGATCTKTTCTCCGCCGCCATCGGCAGCGTTGCCTGCTGCTACGTTGGCCAGCCCTTCGATACCGTCAAGGTTCGGATGCAGACAAGTCCCGATCAGTTTTCGAGCGTAGCTGGATCGACCAGCCAGATTTTACGAAACGAAGGAATCACGGCCTTCTGGAAGGGTGCCCTTCCCACGTCGGGCGGAATGATAATGGAGAATTGCATGGCCTTTGGCGTCAACGAGGCACTGAAACGCGCGTTTCCGGACAAAAACGATGGTGCCATCCAGGAAGGACCGCCGAGTCTCTGGAAACCATTTGCAATGGGTGCCATCACCGGTTGCTGCTCCGCAACGGTTCTTCTGCCCAGCGAGATTGTCAAGGCCAAGACGCAGATTTCGACGGAACGAAACATCACGTCCCAACAAATTGTTCGACAAATGATCAAGAAGCAGGGCCTGAGATCGTTCTTTGTAGGATTTGACGCCCAGCTCTGTCGAGATTCATCGTTCTATGCTCTTTTTTTCGGAGGCTACGAATTATCGTGTTATTTCTTTCGCACTTTTGTTCCCAGCATGCCAGATGAATTGAACTACTTTCTTAGCGGTGGCATTGCGGGAATGGGCGGTTGGCTCTTTGCCATGCCCTTTGACGTACCAAAAACAAATGTGAGTTCCTGTATTTTTCTTTGGACAAGATWTTGTGCCCACAGCTATGGTGACGCTGATGTTTTCAAAAATACRCRGAGTGTCTCACATGTCTTTCGTTATGATACATAAAGGTACAATCCCGATACGACACAAAGGTGTTTGGCAGCTACTTTCCCGAATTAATCAAAATTGCAAAACAAAGAGGGGTAGGTGGGCTTTACGCCGGTCTCGGACCGACGTTAATACGTGCGTTCCCAGCGAACGCTGCTTTGTTCCTTGGAGTGGAGAGTGGGAAAAAGGTTTTTGATAATTTGGTGTGGAAGGAGTGAGTACGCCGAGACGCGAATCGCCGTGCTGTAACCTGTACCTATCTCCGTACCAGCCGACAAGACAGGTCTTGAGARWAATCATGCGTCAGAAGAGCAATTGTAGAATATGAAGTTATGGTTCAACWTTTCTTTAGCAAGCGATACTCGTTGAAAGTCGTCGTATCCAAAGCCGACTCCTCCTGACACGACRMATCCAAAACAATAGATGGTTTGTATCTAAGGATTTGTAATAGAGCAGCGTCAAATAGCGACTAAAATCCACACATKTGATTTCYTAAAGCAAACGTGACACCGTAATTGTTGCTAGAATTGGACRGAGTAGCATAAATTAGAACAGGTACTATTGACAAATAATAACTTTTGCATTTCAAGATGAAGGTTACTGTGTGGCGACCAATCATTTTCTCCACAGAGCAGGCATTAAGGTCAACTCTATTTACTATCGCTTTTGTGGTCACACAAACCAAATTTGTCGACATCAGTCAGCGTTCGGTTTCTATYGARGCAATCATCGTCGATATGCATCAGTGGCCGCCGCTTCAATGGAGGAATATCCAAAAAGAACGAATCTATCGTAGGTTTCTTTTGATGGACACTGCAAAATCCACAAGCCTCGTCTTCTATAGTCTCGTTCAGCTGAAAGTCGCAAAAGATCGGGGGAATCAAATCATAATTCTTCCTGCAGTCATTTCGCGATCGAGGCAGATGTTCGGTCAGTGTGAGACCTCGTCGCAGCATCTCTGAATTTTTCGTGGACGTTTGGGTTAAATTTAGAAGTGTTTCATGTACATCGAACGGTGTTGTCCACTTCCGTGAATTTGAAGTGAATGCATTCATATCAATTTGATCTCTRACGAYAGATGGAATGTGAATGTATAGAATAGGTTCAGTTGCTTCTCTTCGGCCTTGTCTACTTGGAAAGTTCGGTCCATAGTGAAGGCCATGATCAGAGGTCACAATAATGACTGAATTTTCGAAGTARCCCTTCCTTTCAATCCTTTCCAAAAATTTAGACAGGCCAGAATCAAGGGTAGCTGACAATACCATCGTGTCCTCGTGGCTATCGACAAAATGCATGAACGATGCCCATCGTAAATTTGGATGGCTGGATCTCCTCAACTTTTCRTATCTTGAGATAAACTGCTCTCCATAGTCAAGAAGAAGCGACGATGCAAGATCAGGCCCTATACAATTCGGACGGGCAAAKGCATCAAAACAAAATAGTCCTTGTAGAGCGCTTCCATGCGTCGTATTCGGTGCCAGGCTTTGCATCATGTTTGAGTTTTCTATGCAGCTATCTTCCCCTTTTAATGTGATATAGCCTGCTATCCTCAGTCGGTCCCACAGCCACTTATCGGCACTATCGCTATCRTGACGAAGATTTCCTCGCTTTTCCAACTTTATTCCCGAGTACAARGCTGATTGATTTGGTCCTGAATTAGGCCCGACTGCTGTATATCTCTCGAATCTGAGAAAATCCAGTTTGCGAAGGATTTCATTAGTCTCTGGCATAGTTCGGTCGAAATGTGACCTACTTATTGGATCTAAAAGCAACAAGAGCACATTCGGACTCTTCGTATTACCGGAAATCAAGTCCTTGGAGATATTTTCATTGGATATTCGAGTCTTGCATCGACTYACCCCAGCCTTGTGGTGTATGCACAAAGCTTCTGAWTCCGACAATGTTTTCCCGTTCATCCRAAACGAGAATTCTTCATTTCCTTCGCTCCATAAATCCTCCTCCAAATATTCAATCGATTCGCTGTCTGACAAGGTTAGCCGCAACGAATTCTATCCGGAATAATCCGCAAATATTACGTTAGAAATCAAGAAACAAATTATAAGGATATATTGATACATATTCGCCATTCCGCAAAAGATAGACTGACCTCATTGAAGCTGAATTGCATGTTTTTATTCTTTGTTTCGGGGCATGATTTGAGAGGTGGGAGCTGATTCATTACCTGATCACCGAAAACGTCAATTTCCTTTTCCCCGTACTGGAAGTATGTTTGTGCCGTTGGAATTGCTAGATCCAGGCCTTGTGTTGCGAAAATGTAACTTGTAAACACTTCACCTTTCGATTCCCCATGAAAGTATGACGCGTCAGCTCCCCATTTCAGAAAGCCTTTCAATTGTTCAACAGATTGGAACAAGGCATTGGGACCGTACCGGTCAAAAATGTCTCTTTCATTACTTTGTTCGGCGTGATAATGWGAGCAAGACAAAGTCTGTACTTTGTATCTCTTTCGTAAAAGCGACTCTACTGCACCCATTCCACCRAATCTATAAGATCCATCTCCTAATCTGATTGCGTGAAGAGCAATCACAAGGTATGTCACGGTACAGCTTTCAAGAAACGAATCCGCATTCTTCCACACAGAGTCCTCCAAACCAAATGGCGAATCAAAGACTGCAAGTAGAATCCATTTTGGTACCTCCKTAGGGCTAGTCGACCACCAAAAGTTGGAATGGGTAGCATTTTTTAACGGTCCATGTGATTCTGAGTTAGTCAAGCCGTCGAAAGAACTCCACCAATCATCCAAAGTTGGGATATACTTYTCAACACCCGATCGGTTCTTGAAATAATTGTTGATTGCATGGATAGTATGACCCTCGGCTACTCCGTATCGAACAAAAGCAGCACCTATTGAATCCTGTTGGCTCATGTTAATACTGTGTACCTGCTTAGGATTTATCGTCTCAAAAGCTTGCTTAGCAAACGAAACAGCACCAGGTGCAACCACGAGGACATTTGAACTYGTAACGTGCCGTGATAAAACCCTACAGGCRAACTCTTTCAAGACAGCCCCGAACATGCCATCAWYGGTCTTTTCAGCAGAAATGAGGTGACTGACTGAGCTTTCTTCASGAGTTCTTGTCTCCTCCGATGAAGGAAATGATGGCTTCGTTTGGTCTGCCTTGGGAGAAACAAAGGATCTGCCGTCCACCAAATAATGATGGGTATCCCAAGGACCCTTGCTGCTTCCAATTTCATCAATATGAGTGCACAGTATCCAGAGTGTCGTCCCGAAGCAGTACAAAAGAAAAAGCAATGAAATTTTTAGGTAATTAACAGTCCTCCAGTACTTCCTTGTATTSAAMACAAAACATAGTTCTTCTGGACGCCGACGACGTTGCCTTTCTTGTCGTCGRATCCTTTCTTTCCTTGGGTTGATTTCTAGTGGCATTATAAATTGAGGATTCGTTTAGGTAAGAGTAMCATTTAGATGCCGGTTTTGGTGGAAATCTATTYCTTCTGATTTRCGATGCCTGTGCTCATCAGTGAGAATAGATGAGCTGTGGTGTTACAGGGCCATTACGAAATGAGAGTGGAATCGAGAACTGGGTCCCTCTGTTGTTTCAGCTTATCGAAAACGAGAAGAGGTTTGGTAGAATGAGCCTTCTACCGTATGAGTCTTCCTCACTTCGGCCATTTTTCTTCGTAACTCATTTTCATTTCAGTCATGACTTCAGTCGGAAGGCATGAGGCCCACGAATAAATAGACTCCACATTACGTAAGTACCGTGGTTAAAATTGTACAACGTACGTACTGGTACGAGTACCACATTCGTAAATGATACTGTACTACCATACTGTATTTAGCATTTCGGCATGTTGCGCCAAAGTGTTGCATCAAAGTGGCGCCAAAAAGTATTTTCAATATGGCGCGAAATTCTCCCGTACAAAGACCATTCATGTCAAGGTTCAAAACACTTCTCGTACTACCGGTACTCCGCCTTTCGACTCCCGTTCTCTATTTTCGACTGCCACTTCGCAATAAGTAATAAGTAAGGAGTTAATGAAGAGAAACACAAAGGCGAAGTTGGACAAGGGACAACAGATCCAGGAGTCGTGAAACTATAGAAAGCAAAATAAGCAATAGTCGCGAGAGAGAAGAGCAACTTCTTATTTAAAGGGACTGAATCCAGGTCTTTACTCTTTGCACTCAGATCTTTCTTAAAGGACTTGTCAGTATTTCATTTTGCTGCGATATTCGCGGAGGAACGGGCTGGATCGCACCAACGTTCATCGATCTAAAATTGGTGTCTTCGTCTTTCTCATAAAAAAAGTTCCGTGTTCTTCGGAAGGCTGCAAGCGATGTCGGATTCAAATGCTGTTGTAACTTCTTCTACGGGAACACATTTCACTTGTGTTTTCAAAACGTTTAACGACAATGTTGACGAAATCGGGATAGGTAAAATTTCTGGAAAAGCCATTCTTYTACCAGAGGAGGGTAAGAAATCATCATACTTGCTGCAGCCAAAACAAGACGTGAGCCAAAAAAGTTCTGACGAGAATGAAGAGTCCGACTACTATTCTTTCCCAAAACCAGCACACCTCGTCGTTGAACGCAGCATGAATTCTAATGCTCCACCCGCCAACTCAAAAAGTCATCGCCCGTTCTTTTTTGGAGGTCTTCAAATCGTTTTTAGCGCAAAAAATATCGAAGTATATTTGACAAACTTAGACGAAAAAGAAACGTATTTGATGACATGTAAAGGGATTCCTTTTAGAGTGAAGAAGAAGGAAGATAACGCAATAAAATCTGTTCCAGAAAATCCCGATGGCATCGAATGGCGCCGAGCTATCTGTGTCGTTCCTGGCGGTCCACGCAACATATCTCGTCTCCGGATCAAGCCTACAGGGTCTTCATCGGAGACTGAATCTAAAACTATAAAGCTTCATTACTTGAAGCTGACTGCAAGAATAGTGAACAATTCTCCTAATGAGAGGACAGTAACAAACCCTCCCATCCCAACTACAACTTCACAAAGAATGGAACAAAGTCCTCGTCATCTAATTCCATCTATGGCGACTTTGGGGATGGGAGCTGTAGCTCCGACACAAATGCCACCATCAGAACCGCCACTTACTCAGTCTGATCTCGGCGCTGCAATGTCTGGATTATCCTTCATGGCCAGAAAAACGGAAGAGAACATGGCAAATTTATTTCGGCAACAATCAACGAAAATGGAAGAGCACATGAATTCCTATTTCTCGGGGCTTGAAATGCAGATGTGCTCTTTGAAACATACGTTAGCGGCGCAATACCAATTAATCCAAGAAAATCAAATAATCATGAAAGAACAGCAGGGAATCATTGAGTATCAGACTGCTCAAATTGAGAAACTAGCGAACGATAATGATGAATTGAAGGAGAAGATGCGGTCACTACAAGAAGATATCTCCATATTCAGGTTACAAGGACCTTGTAACAATGCCAACAAAGATGAAATAAAAAAAACGGTTGAAGAGAAGCGAATGGGTGCTGGTGGGTGTGGTTCCATGCTCTATGCTACAGAAGTTGACATGATGAACGGGATAAATGAGATGATCTCATTTCATATGAGCCCATTAATCACCGCACAAGATTCTACGATACCATTAAAGGATATCAGAAACAACAAAGACGACGAAGATTACACCCATACGTCAAACATTGAAGTAACGCTAGTTGAGGACGATCCGGTGACGGTAAATGAGCAGGTTGAGGGTGAAGACAACAGTGCTGACGATCATGACAATTACAGCGGTGATGATAATAACAATAATAGAGACGATTGTGAAGAAGTCTCTCGCAAACACTAATCCAATGGTGAACCATTACCAGAAGGACATGTCCACCTATAGAGACTTCGACAGCATCCAGAGATGCCAAAATATAAATGTTTGCCTTGTACGCAAACGTACAAACTCTTGATGTAATTCATGCTCTGATTTTAGTTTTTTAGATTAGAATATATACAGACAAGTCATTAGATAGAAAGAAATGACATGTTTTTGCAATGGACAGTAAGTACTGCCAGTCACAAATACTAGTAGTACTCAAAACCAGGAAGGCTACAAATGCAGCAACCATGATTACTGCTAAACAAGAACTGATCTGAAGAGAATTCAAAAGCAAATAATGTGACAAGAAACAAGTCGTTCAATGAATAGGTGATCAAACCTCATGATGTTGTGAATTGCAGTATTTGTGCTCAATAATTTTTGGGTATGACATCAATTTTAAAGTTAGGGTTGACAATTTGGTCTTCTCATTGTGTGCGCTTCCTCGTCACCTTGGGATTCCTTGCCTGTGCATTGCTGTTTGTTCCTGATGTTGGTGGTGTACTGGGGATTAGCACCAGGCAGCAGATCATAATTGTAAGTAAAAGTGCTCCTGTTGTTGCTCTGCCACTGATGGAACAAATTCATCGTCAATCCAAGATCCCCCTTCCACATCTGATTAGTCTCTTTAGCAATCTGGCTAGCCTCTCTAGCCATGTGACTTGTCTCTCTGTCTCTCTCTTGCTAGCTCTTCAGATACTCATTAAAAGCAGCACCATCAGGAACACTGGATTTCTTCTGCTGATATGATCTCTTCTTGACACAAGTAGCTACATCAATGGGAAGTAGTATCTCTACCAGTATCAATTCCATGAGGGACTCTACACTAGTAGCTTGTCCTCTCAATATTTTACAATACCTAACTTGCCACTACTATTTTTGCCAGCAGTTTGTTGTTTGCCACTCATCCTCATCCTCAGGCATCCACCCATGATATCTGTGCTTCCAAGCTCTCTACCTTATCCTATCAACATCAGATATGACAATGTTCTGTCTATCTCTTGTAATCATTTTCCCATTTGAATAATTGACAGGAGGACAACCAAACCCTTGATACGGCCAGCTGGTCTTGTCAATACACAAGTCCACCAAGTCAGCCCTTTCACCAGTAAAATAGTTTGTATTATTGATGATAGTCTCCTGGTAGATGAAATCAAGTTTGTAAGAAGCAACATTGCCAGCATCAGGGGATGCACAAAAAGGTCTCTAGGCATAATTCTTGTAAAGCTTTAAGTTCCTTTTAATCTCTTGTCACCTGCTACAAATAATGGTATTTGCTATGTTGTCATACTAGAATGAAAGATCTTTTGCGTCCCATCTACTACTTAATGTTTACACTGACTCCTTCACAAGCGCCATGCATAAAAAGGATGCCATCAGACTGAACTGATTCAGGAACTGTAACAGGTATAACTTGATGTGCTTCCCCTTCATTGGCATCAGAGATGTACACATTAATACATCTCATCACCTTGTTGTAACAAGTATGTTTCTTCTCTTGTTCAACCTGATAATATTGAGCTTCCCTTGAATCTGGAACAATTGGAAGCAGCAACTGATGGGAAAGGAAGGCATCTCCATTTTCAACCCTGTCTCTCATTACTAGTCCATGTTGCTGTAGCTTGACGAAGATATCCAGTTTGCCCTTCCTCTCCTTTGGAAACATGTTATCTCTCCTAGCAAACTTCCTTGCAAACTTTGCAAACTGATTGTCAAGGTCTTCTACTGACTTCCCTTCATTTTCCTCTCTGATGGGTTCCTTGCCAAGACCAGTTAAGTGTTTAGGAATTTCCACAGGCGTGCACTCAGAGAAGAGAAAGTGTCCCTTGTATTTCCCTGTTCCTGCTTCAAACTTGAGTCTGTAGTAATAGGGATACCGCCCACCTAGGTTATGAATGTCATTCCAGTCTTTAGATTCTCCTTTGTCAACCTTTGGATCCTTCCTTTCATCATAGCCTACTAGTACTGGAACCTTGGGAAAGTTAAGACTGCTATCAACAATAGTTTCATTCTTTCAATGAAAGAATTCAATATTGTGAGGTTGGACAGCATCCTTCAAGTTCCAGGCTGTCTGCCTCTATAATTTCAGTTCTCATGATTCATCCCAGAAGAATCAGAATCAGAATTAGGCTCAGTGTCATCAACATCCTCCTCATGTTTGTTTGGCATCATCCTCTTCAGAAGTGGGATCGTAGGAAATGGAGCTGTCAAACAAGACAGATACAAACACCTTTTCAAAGATTTCCTCTCCATGATTATAATTTTTCCATAGCTTCATCAGTTTCAAAATTGCATCATTTTTACTAATTCATCTAGGGTGATTAGTATGATCCTTCAGAAATCAAGAGAAACGTGGTCTATGCTCATACAGCAGAAGACATCCATTATACAAATTTTTGTCTTACCCCACAGTGACACATTTTCACTGTTCAAATCTAGATGGCAACATCTTTCGTCACTGTTTAAATTTTTGAAATTGACTACAACAAAGTTTCCTTAGATTATGGTGATAGTCATCTGCTGGTAAATAATTTACCAAAAAGAAAGATGATAATGTGAGAGAATGATATCATTTATGATTTCAGTCTTTTCCCAGCTTAAGCTTGCTCAACTACTAGTAGTAGTATGAGGGCATCAGCAGTAGTAGTACTAGTAATGAAGTGCTACCAATAGTAGTAGTGGTAGGAGTGCCCCTGATGCAAGATGTAATATCAGGGAGGTTATTATGAACAAGGTTGAGGAGCAGCAAAATCTGGTTACAATTGYTGGCCTTTGCTGGTGATAGTGCTCTTGCTCCTCCTTTTGATTATGATCCTTCATTGGGCTGCCATGCATCACCACCACCACCAGCATTTCTCCTTGCCTTCTTCTTCTTTGTGGTGGTGTAGCTACTACTGTAACAACCTAGTATTGTTCTCTTTGATATCTGAAAAGGAAGAACTACAAATAGCAGAATAAGTAGTACTGTCACTAGCAATTGCAATGTTATAATAGTGGTAGTGCCACTAGTAATAGATCGGAGAGTAACTGCTGCTGCTTAGTACAAAGAAAAACAAGAAGGAAGAAAAAGATAGTTTTTTACTCATTGATATTAGTACTTCTACTATTACTTGTTGTGTGTTGTTGTTGTTGTTGTTGTTGTCGTCGTTGTCATTGTTGTTGTCGTCGTCATTGTTGTTGTCGTCGTCATTGTTGTTGTCGTTGTCGTTGTCATTGTCATTGTCATTGTCATTGTTGTTGTCGTCATCATCAAAAACAACAACAACAACAACAACAACAACAACAACAACAACAACAACAACAACAACCACAATGACAACGACAACAACAATGGCGACGACAACAACAACAACAATGGCGACGATGACAACAATGATGAGGATAATGAGGATGATGATGATGATGATGGTGATCATGATGGTGATGATGATGGTGATGATCATGATCATGATGATCATGATGATCATGATGGTGATGATCATGATGATGATCATGATGTTTTGTTGTCCTTTGTAGCTGGCATCAATAACTTGCTGATTAATGTTGCTGCTAATTAGTAGTGTTGTGGATAGGACTCTTGCTGGAGATACTGCTGCTGATTGGTGCTGTAAATTAGTGTTTGGGAGTGTTGCTGATAGTGTTGATGACAGGGGGTCTTTAGATGTCAGTTGTCAGAACAAGATGCACATCCACTGGCATTATGGTAGCTTCAGCACACAGTGATGACAAGTCTTCTCTGTCCGACAATGGACAGAGGGTAATCTGGTCACAAACAACATCAAGCAATATTGGTGCAACATTGGATGGTATTTCAGGTAAAACGCTTTGTTCATCAAGAATATATTTCCATCTGATGACAATATTTCATAGAAAAATGGTGTAGTTGGACAAGATTTCTTGATATCTCTTGGTGCGCTTGGCACAATCTGCATGCAAAAACAGTGGCCCAGAATCTACAACTGGATCATAGCACATAGATCTGTCTGCCAACTCTATACAATTTGGATCAAATCTTTATAGCAAGAGGAATGTAGTTATGGTAGTATTCATTCATTAAGAATATAACATAACACTGGTCTTATTTGGAGAAATAACTTATCAGCTAAAGCATAGTATATTATGAAACAAACAAACAAAGAACAAACAAACAAACAAACAAAGCATATGTCATCCAAAAAACTCCAGTGTAATTTCACAACTGTCTCGCATGCCATCCTTTACAAGTACTAGGATGAGTGGAGTTACTTGAAATAATGACAGCTATACATAAAAGCAGTATTTTCTAGGACACTCAAATTTCAAATATCTCTTTATTTTGGAAAGCTTCTCCTCCACAGGAGGAAGTCCTTGCTGGAAATGACAATAGTCTAAACTTTGAGGAGGAATAGTACTGCTACTGCTACTGCTACTGCTGCTGCTACTGCTGCTGCTGCTACTGCTGCTGCTGCTGCTGCTGCTGCTGCTGCTCCTGCTACTGCTGCTACTGCTGCTGCTGCTGCTCCTGCTCCTGCTACTGCTACTGCTACTGCTACTGCTACTGCTACTGCTGCTGCTCCTGCTACTGCTACTGCTACTGCTACTGCTACTGCTACTGCTACTGCTACTGCTACTGCTACTGCTACTGCTACTGCTACTGCTACTGCTACTGCTATGGGGACGTTGGGAAACGACTCATAACCAGATACTTAAAGCTACTGGACCTACGGCCCAGCTACTGAGACACGTGCCTCCTCATAATCGTGTACTTTAAGGTAGTGGACCTACGTCTCAGCTACTGAGTCACGTTCCTACTGATGTATAAGCCGAATAAAGTAGCGTTAAGTAGCTTAAAAGCTACTTTTAAGCAGCTTAAAAGCGACTTTTAAGTAGCATTAAAGCTACTTTTAGGCAGCTTAAAAGCAACTTTTAAGTAGCTTAAAAGCTACTTTAAAGCTACTTTTAAGCTACTTTAAAGTAGCCTTTCGGTAGCCGTTGGATTGCGAAATATCATATATATATATAAACATTAATTAAAAAGAATAACTGAATATTGAAAATAATCAGATATATATAAATATAATAATCATAGGTAGTCCCACGATTGAAAATAATTAACGGAAAGACAATC